CATAGTCCTGATAGTTTTCACAATATGACTATTTGTTTGCAACTCATGCCGCCCATTGACATTCATTGAAACTCCACTCTAGCCACCTCAAATTTGAAGAGCAATTTCTAAACTGCGACTGTGCCTTCATTTTTAATATTTCAGAGACATACTATGCATCAAATGTAGGTCTGGATCTTGTGATTCTCACAATATAAAGCTCTTTGGTGTAGGATTTATAATTTTTAAACTACAACCATTTGAAGATGGCAAGCGCCAGTGAAGTGAGCAAGTTGGAGCAGTTTGTTTTTAACCGCTCTTCTCTGCCCTTGCTGTAGAGTGAGTTGCCATATGAACCCATGTGTGTGAGCAGGCAGCAGAGTGACAAGCCACTCCACCCAGCTACTTCGCCCACTCCAGTTGTAGACTACTGGTGGAGGCAAGAACACTTCACACAATTTCCCCTGAAATTGTAGCTTTTCTAGTTAAGGTCTGTATCTACATTCCTACTTCATTCTTAGCTTTTGCTTAATAAAATATTTATTGTAACATCAATTAACCAGTCCATATTGAGAAATCATGTCACCCTTCTAATAAACTGATACAGTAATGCACTGTGAGACAGTTTTTCAAAATAATTTCTAGAAACACACTGCTGTTGAAACTATGTACCCAAGTTTGCGACCCATAATACTCTATAATAAAGACCCTACCATGCAATATTTATTGTATTGCAGAAAATTTTAAGGATAACTTGACTAAGTAGGAACGTTTTAAATATGCTAAGGCAAAAATAAGATAACATAAGAATACTTATACTTCGTTATTTATTATCGCTAAAAAAAAAATGCAAAAAAAAAATAAATTCATAGAGGGAGATGTTTAATATTAGGCTTGGAAAATATAATTATAGAGAGCAAAGCAAAAGCTAAACTCTTAAATACATACCGTACCTTCATATATTTACCAGTCTTTACAAATGAATAGCTAAGAGCAGAAAATACGGTGGACAGAGATAGCAGGTGCACCCCATTCACTGTGCCCAGGCTTCTATCTGGGACAATCCCAAAAGACTGCCATAAATCAGATGTCACACAGTTGTTTATGAAGTGTACAACCCTAGAACTGGGTAACTATAGTAAGCCTGGCTTGTGTTGTGAGCAAAGCTGGCCACACACTGATCGAAATGTATCCGGTTCAATGGGGTCCAGCCAAAATTTCAAACAGTGTGTGGCCATCCCCTCTCGACAGAAGGTGATTGATCAAATTTATTGGTTGAACTAGATGGACTTGTGTGTTTTTTCAACCAGACTAACTATGCAACTTCTGTCAAAGGGACATGCTGGAAAACTTTTGAAGATCAGCAGCTGCAGCCACTCATCAATGTATTCTGATAGCAGTAGATCTTACAGTTAGAAGCCAATATCTGGGCTTGAAGGGGTTTTCCCATCCACCTCATTTGTGTGATGGAGGAATCGGCCTGCAGTCTGAACAAAAAAATTAACAGTGTATGGCCAGCTTAAAATATTTAAAAGTATGCATGTAAGCAAATAATCTAATAGCAGAGAGAAAGCATACAGTAGATAATAGTAAAATTACCTGTTTTGGTAAGTAGAAGAAATAATTAAAAGTCAGTTTAAATCTGGATGTTGGAAATACTATTATTGCAAAATATTCAGATTTTGTTAAAGCATTCATTACTATTCCTCTTAATGACCTGGCACAGAAACTGAAGATGCAAGGATTAAGGGAACATGTTTGTGATAATGAACTGGTTTAATGACAGAAGACGAAAGGTATTCATTATCATACCAAGATCTAAACAATCTAAGCTTAGCAATGGTGTATTACAGGGATTGTTGCTGGGGCCTGTTTTTTCTTTTTTTCAGCCTGCAGGGTGAACAAAAAAAACTCGACATATTCCTCTATACATAGCAAAACTGACATTTTGTTAATAACACAAAATTATATAGAATTAGTAAAAATCAGCAGGATAAAATAAAAATGTTCAAATCTAAAATAGAAGAGGTGAAATTCTCAGCAGGACAGGATAAAAAGCTATTGACTAAGGGGAGGTCACAGATTATCAACCTGGTGTTCCGGTTAGGATAAAAATCACCAAATGGGAAGACTACCTCAAAGAGCCGAAAACAAGCAGACACTGGGAGCGATAGCAGTCCTTAACAGGTAGAGAAATGTAATGACCTGAATGGGTAGAACAGACTAACAACAATAATGACAAATGGGAACAGGAAAGTTTTCCATGCATAAAACAGATTTTTAATTGAAATCTGGATAACAGGACCACATGAAAAGACCAGCTGATCTAATAAAATCAAAGCTTTAAAGAACAAGTAAAGCCAAAGCTCTTTAGGCTGTACTTCTGTTGATCACAGGAGTGCAGTTTGTTCTGCACTCCTGTGACCCGTTTTTAGCTGACAGCGGGCTGAAGCCCACTGTTGGCTGACATCACTCAGCCGGTCCAGGCTGGGGAAAAATCCCGACTTTAAAGTCAGGATCCACCCAATGCTCTGGAGCGGCACATGGCTCAGCGTCTCAGTGATCCACTGAGAGCCTGAGCCAGCCATTCCCTACCCCTCCACAACCCGACACTCCAGTGAGCACAGGGGGGGCAAAGCAGACAGCGTTGACTGACAATCACCTCTCTCTGTTCACAGCGGCGGTGCAAACTCAGTGATCGGCGGTCCTGTGATTGCTGAGTTCTCACACTTAGAGCCAACGGGGGACAGATGCAGTTTTGGACCGATGCTGCATCTACCTAGGTAAGTATAATTTTGAAAAAAAAAAAAACATCCCATATTTCTTTTTTAAAAGCGGAAGGTCCAGGTCCTAAAGTGTTGCAGATAATCCCAATAGAAACTATGTTATGTCAGAGAGGCTGACAAACTAAGGGGAAATATGAGGTGACAGGAGAATAGAAAATAGTGGGAAGACCACCTCCCTATAAAGGTGCAGCAGCAACAACACAAAACATTTGAGTGAGCAGAATTGTCCATAGGGACATTAGGTGGTGTCACTAGAACCTGATAGGGAACAACCTCTGGAGGGCTGGTCTATCCGATCTTGATGAAAGGACATGGGTAGAGAAGATATTTGAGGAACTTTTCAAAGAGAGGTATAAATCAGATACAATAGGATGGTTTTATCCCAAATAAATGAAGGAAAAGACTGATACTGTGTACTAGGCTTAAAAGTAGAATTCAACATCTTATCAGTAAAGTCCTCAAGGGTAAGAATACATTTGTCTTGTATAGTGATATTTCTGGTAATGTAAACCACTGGAGCATCCACATTGTACACTAACTACTTTTTAAAGAATCCCTCTTCAAACAGGTAATGCTCTAGCAGGCAGGCCTAGGATCCTTCAGGGTGTTTACAGTCTGCATAGAGGAAGTCCTCAAAAAGTGCATGTAGGGGAAAGGTGTTTATGATTGCATGATTTCTAAAAGATCCAATGACTGTAGCAGCTGATTCTCCAAATTTAAGGTGATCACACTGCATCAATGAATGTGACAATCAGATGACTGTGGTGACCCAAAAACTGACTGCTGGGCTTCTGAATCTTAATCTGTAGACCCAGTGTAATTTATAGGTGCAGGAGGGTGAGTGACAGACTCTGCTGGGGATGGCACAAAGCGTGATTAGAATCCCTATGTACAGAATGGTGCAGTAACTGGGTACAAACAGCTAGGGGCAGATATAGTAGTCCCCATGGACATGGGTGATACCATATCCCTCAGCTGATGTAGCTTCAATAGACTCTGCAGAATAGAGCCATATAATGATAGTTGTCCCAGTTTCCAGATTACAGATGTTGTTTCCATTTAGAGATACTGGGTAAACGCCAAACAGAACCGTTGTGTGAGTGTAGGGTGAGGTCACCCTTAGCAGGGGGACTGTTGTCTGTGTGTCTTTGAGAAGACATGTTGGTCATGTGGCAACGAGGCCCAATGTAAGCCAATGCCTCACAAGTACTCACAAACTCTGGTGGTGGGCTGGTGCTGATGATAGTGTTGTCAGATAGAGGAGTTGACTGCAAGCAGGCAATGGAATGGAACCAACACAGTGATCCAATTGGTGTTTCAGGTGCAGAAGAAGCAGCAGCAGGACAGTGGTGGAAAAAAGAAGGCATATGCAGACTGGGCTTTCTTATACACAATGCCCTTGTGTGGTGTTATCCTAAGTGGTCACCAATGATCAGGACAACTGTGTGTGGAAGGGGAAGCAAGTTGGAGCAAACATGGCACCATTATGAGAGGTACATGGACAAAAAGGACAGGGGCATGTTTCTCTGTCTCACAGTTAATAACAAATGAGATTAGTTTACTTGATGGTCCATGTATGTTCAACTGGATGGTTACTGTTCTGTTATGTACTAGGGTTTCCCTAGAGTTTGTGTGTGGGTTGCACTGATACCAATACTGTTATCGATATTGGTTACGATACTGAGCATTAGCACGAGTACTTTTACTTGTGCAAATGGTCCGATACCCAAAACCGATTGCGGTGTGATTTGAGTCCATACAAAATGAATAGGCTCAAATTGCACTGCAAAGAATTGCATGTGAATTGAACAGGAATGCGGTGCAATTCCTGTCTGAATCACAAGCGGTTTCCCTGCAGGCAGCAGTGCGATTTGAGCTCATTAATTTTGTATGGACTCAAATCACACCACAAAGGTATTGGTAATTGGTATCCCCGAGTACTTGAGTACAAGTATCGGTACTCGTACTCGCTAGTAAAAAAAATGGTATTGGTGCAACCCTAGTATGTGCATTCGGTACAACATATTTTTAAATTCCTGTGCATATATGGGGTTATGTGGTGCTGGAAACCTGGTCTAGGGTAGCAGGAGATGAAAATTTCAGATTAGAAAATATATGCACTTTTGTCAAACTATCAAATGCATACCATAGGATGCCACATACTGCATATTGATACTACAATTTTCAGAAATTTTCTTGAATTCTATTATTTTGATGTTTATTGAGCACTTTGTTTCCGTAGCCTCCCTGGTGGTATTCCCGAGTGTAGCTCAGGGTAAAGTTTCAGTACCACAAGCGGTAACCCCGAGCTACACTCGGGCTTACCATGCGGTGCTGCTCCGGAATCTGTTCTTCTCTTACCTTGTCCTGCGCTCTCGCGATGTCCCTCCTGCAGCGTCCCCTGTAATGTTCTCTGGCGAATGACAGCATCTGTCTTCTGTGTTCCGTCCCCTGCGACGTCGGGACGTACTGGGACGGAACGGCGGGAAATTTGAAAATGACAAAGTGACATTCACTAAAAATAACATAGTAAAACATTGCTGTATCAAACAATTTCACATACATTTTGTCCCTAGTGCTTTGTCCTATGCCCTGCCTGCATTTTTACCGTTCTTTCTGCCTTGAAACTGAAAAATGTCCATGGCGTCCAAAAAGCGTCCCTTTAGGTCAAAATCAGTTTTAGACCAGCTAGAGAACAGCGATAGTAAATTAGAATACTTGCAGAATTGAGTGATAATGATTTGTGGGGAAATTCGTCTTCAGACACTGAAACGATTCTGCAACTTTGCTCAGTGATGTGCGAACTTGGCGCTTTATTTCAAATTTCAGTGTTTTTGGTTTGATTATATTATTGAATTAAATGTATTATTATATTATTATTTTTTATGATTATTAAATTATAATTTCTGATTTCGTGTTTCAAATTTTAATATACCCGAGATGTTTACTAGACTCTTGTTCGAACAGATTTCAGTGAGTTATTCCTAAAAATTACAGGCCTACAATAAGCAAAATACATATTTCCATGCAAAAAAATGTACCGCTTTGAGCACAGAAATATGGACATAATCATACCGCCAGGGAGGTTAATGTCTGCCTCGCGTTACAGAAGTGAAATCTATGTTGTCTACATTATTACATTTAGGAAACTTGCAGGCTTCCCTTTATTAGATCACTGTATCACCAAACACCTATGCCACAAAAATTAATTTCCTGGAAGCATTGTGATGCCTTGTGTACTTCTGATCTTGTGCTATCTTTTCAGTAGATATTTTGCATGCATAAACATGAGCTTTGTCTTCAGCATGGAGACAGAATTAAGATTTGTAAAAAACTAAGAGTTCTTGCTAAAATAACATTTCCATGGCCACGTCTGACACTCTGTAAGGCTGCATTCACACTTGAGCGTTTTGTAGCTTAAGGCTCGAAGCTCCAAAAATGCTGAAACTTAAAAAATCAGTTGTTCTCTATGGTGTTTGTTCGCGTGATCAGGTGTGAACAGGCACCGTAGAGAACAACTACCTGTAATTTTTTTTAAGTTTGAGCCTTTCTGGTGCTTCAAGCTACAAAACGCTCAAGTGTCAAATACACTACTGAACTATAAATAAAGGGACATACTTACTTGGCCTTACTCGCCAAAGGATTTGTAATTTTATCTAGGCAGTTCTGAGTCTTAGACTACGTTCACACTAGCGTTGTGTGCAGGCGGCAGAGAGAGAGGCGTTTGGGAAGCGTTTTTACCGCTTCCCAAACGCCTCTGCCAATTCTGCACATTACAGCACATGGTGCTGTTCTAACGAGAGCGTTTGAGTCGCGTTGCATCGCGGAAAAATGGACGCCTCTAGTCGAGTCAGGAGGTGTTGAAGCCTCCTATTCTAGTCTATGGTGCTGCTCCGCAAACGCCCGGCCGGCGTTTTGCGGTGCGGTTGCGACGCGGTTGCGGGGTGTTTGCGGAGTAGTAACACCATTCAAACCGCATTATAGGTGTTTGTGGAGCGTTTTTAACGCTCCGCAAACGCCTAGAAACCGCCGCTAAACTGCGCATGCGGCGTTTGCCGAGCATTAAAAACCGCTCCGCAAACACCGGACCAACGCTTGCCAAACGCTATAGGGGCGTTTGGCAAGCGTTGGTAAAACAGCCAAGTGTGAACGAGCCCTTACTCAGCCGTATGGGGTAGCAGAACCAAGTTGGTGAATTGACATTTCCTTTCTAAAGTTATGCAATACAGCTAGGTCACCTCCCTGCCCAGCCTGTGACTGGGTACTGGAAAAAGCGGAATACTAATGAGTCAACCTTCTGATTTCTCCAACTGTGATCATGTTCCTTGGCAGCCAGTATAAATGTAGTATACCCAAATGGCTCCTAATGCTGTATTTTTCTCTTTAGTCTAAATACTGTTGTGCAGAGTCTATTACCACATCCAACTTACACTATTGTTTATAATGTACTTCATGATATTTTAATGGATATGTATAGTAGCTGGGTTACTTGATGTATTTCTGAAACAAGAACACCAGATTCTGCTGAAAAAGCTATATATGTGGCTTTGCACAGCCATTCTATGAATATTTTCAAACATACTTGTATATATTTTCAAACATATGTATTGTGTATATATAAAGAAAAAACAAACCATCTATAAAATCCTTTTAGAAGTAGGGATGAGCTGAAACTGCCTGGGTTCAGTTTTGGTTGGGTTCATGACTAAAGTTTGGGTGCCAAATCTGAACTCCACTGATATCAATGAGAGCCAAATATTTTAAAACAGTAATGGCCATTTTCTAAGCTAATAGGTAAGGGGTTGTCAGACACATTGCATAAGGGGCTAGGTACTAGCCAGAGGGACATGTACCAAAGCAAAAAAACATTTTTTTTAATTCAGATTAGTGGGGGGCAGCAATTTTGATCATGCTTTAGGGTCAACATTAAATGCTAAATTCTTTTAAGTAACATGCCTGGGGAGTGCCCTTAACCTGCCTGTGAAGTGGCACTTCTGCCGATTGTTTTCAAACTTCTACAGCGAAACTAGCATTTATAAAGGAAAAAATGAAGTTTAAATTGCTGTCAAATGGATACTTTATCATTGTACACAAGGGAGAATTCCCTTCATCTATACCAGACCCTTATCTTAGATGACGGTCTGGTCTGGTATAGATGTTAATGTGGGACCCAACACAGGGTTCCCCCTAAAAATGCATATCAGCCCTGTATCACTGATACGGATCTGGCATGAATGTCAAGGGGGACCCCACAATAGAAGGTATGGTTTCACCCCAAATTCCATACAAGACCCTTCCAGTCTTGTATGAATTTTACAGTAACTGGGAACCCCACACATACCCTTATCTTATCATGCAGCCTGGCAGACTAGGAAAGGAGGAGGACAAATGTATGCCCCCAGACCATAACAGGCCACATGCCCTCAAAATGGGGGGACCCCTCTGACAAAGCTCCTTTTTCCTATGTTGTTGAGGACAAGGGCCTTTTCCCCAAAACCCTGGCCTGGTGATTGTGGGGGTCTGCGGGCAGAGGCTTATTGTAAACTGGAATCCTTAATAACCAGACCAGAGCCACAGAAAAAGGTATACAGTGTAGTAATTTATTTGTATAATCAGCTTCTATCCATCCAGGAGCTACGTACTGACGTCATGCCTCTGTTTCCGCTTCTGGAACCAAGCAGAATTTTAGTAAGTGAATGTCCCCACATGGTAGATTTACAATCTGCTATAACTGTAACATTTGGTGTATGGATTTAAGGGGTGGATAGAAACTGATTTTAAGAATAAAATACTACACTATATACCTTTTTCTCTGGCTCTGGTGTGGTGAGGTTTCCTCCTAAGCTTGATATATCGGTGGTGCTGGCAGCCCCCTGAGTGAGTGAAGGATTACAATGCAGATGGATTCCCATTCTGGGATGCCCTGTCTGTTTTAAAAACACTGTCTGCTGCTGTTCTGATGCAGCTTAATAGCTAGTGATTATGCAAAGGTGGTGTTTGGAGCAACACGTGATATATTTGGATTGTTGGATGAATACTACACACGGACAACTGCTGGAGTTATTATTTACCACTAAGAAAAATCGTGTTTGTGGGACCTTTTTGCACTTTTTAAAGCCACGTTTTTATTGGTCATTTATGTCATAAGTATATTATTTACACTTTGATTTTTTTATTATAAGATTGTTATATTCATTCTTGATCACTTAGGCACTGCACTTTTGTTTTCACATTTTATTTTTGGGTTTGTAGTCTTACATCACTTGCTAGCTGCCTAAATATTGCATTCATCTGATTTTGGAAACTAAGCAGGTTCAAGTACTTGGGTGGGAAGATGGCTTAACTAGCTGCATAAATATTCTCCTTTTTCCTAGCTTTGGCTATTCCTTTTGAGTATACATATTTTTAACAATAAGGTGGCATCCTTATATAAATGGTTTCCCCTATCCTAACGAGTAAGGGGTACAAAGTACACGTACTTATTCACACAAAAAAGGTAAAACTGTAATTAAACTTATTTACACTTACGCAATTTTTGACAAGTACTTTATTAAAAACAAAGTCCCATGATCACAATGTTTAGAGATGCAGATCTTTGCCAATCATAATGAATGACTCATGTCTAATGACATCTCATGGAGCCCCACCACTAAAAGCAAACATAAGGATGGGGTCTGCCCGGTGATATTGGCAAAATATTGCCGCAGTGTTGTCATGCCATTCAACACGAGAGCATATTTTGCCCTTTACCTCCACTTCCTCCTCACAGAACTTGACCCTAAAACTAGCGCTCCTAAATGCTGATCATCAATATCCTTATATCATATACTAAGAGAAGTGCCGTCATGCTATCACATGATAAGCCGAGCGATGAACTGTTGATGTGTTTCCACCATTAAATCGGTGGCTTCATTTTCTCTCACCCTCCAAGTGAGCAGCACCTATAAACAAGCAGGCATTACCACTCTGTTTGTGAGGAACCTCACCACTTTCCCCTTTGCTTCCAAACACTATCATGTCATTCTGCTGCAAGAAAGACCACTCTGCAAAACATGCTAGCCTTTCTTTTAGATATTATGATGTAAATGGCGATGGCTATCTCTGTCTTTTTTATTATTTAATATATATTTATAATATTATAATATTATTTTATCTTTTTAAATATGTTTGCAAATTGATCCCACATTGTGTTTTTTTTTGCTTTCTAGTCAAGACAGACTCCAGAAGGTGAATTCCTGCCACTCGACCAACGTGAGCTGGATGTTGGATTTGGCACTGGAGCTGACCAGCTGTTCCTAGTTTCTCCCCTAACTATCTGTCATGAAATCAACCGCAAGAGTCCATTCTTTGATCTCTCACAGAAGTCATTAAGGAGTGAACAGTTTGAGATTGTTGTCATTCTGGAAGGAATTGTTGAAACTACAGGTGAGCACTAGAATATTCTGATATTTGCATTAACCACTTGCTGTCCAGAGGATTTACCGCCCCCCCCCCCGACCAGGCCATTTTTTGCATTAGAGCGCTGCATTACTTCAACTGACAATTGCGTGGTCATGCAACGCTGCACCCAAATGAAATTTATGTCCTTTTTTCCCACGAATAGAGATTTCGTTTGGTGGTATTTGATTGCCTGTGCATTTGTTACTTTTTGCGCTATAAAAAAAGGCCGACAATTTTGAGAAAAAAACCCAATATTTTTGACTTTTTGCAATTAAACATGTCCAGTAAAAAAATGTAAAAAATCAAATTTCGTCATAAATTTAGGCCAAAATGTATTGTTCTACGTCTTTGCTTAAAAAAATCCCAATACGTGTAAATTAATTGGTTTACGTAAAAGTTATAGTGTTTACAAATGGTGGTATATATATTGGGTGACACCAGTGACACCAATACAGTGTGCAGTGCTAATAAAAATAATAAAAAAGCATTGACACTGTACTAATGGCACTGGGCAGGAAAAGGTTAACATGTGGGGTGATCAAAGGGTTAACTGTGTGTGTTTTACTGTGGGGCTGTGTGTGTTTGTGCTTCACTGTAAGTGTGCAGGAGCTGAGAGGGGTTGAACTGTTTTGCTTACAAACAGTTATAACCCCCCCCCCCCCCATCGGATGCTCAGCAATCACCACTGGCAAGTAATCGCCGGTGATTGACAGCCGCGGCTGCGACGGTGCGGGTAGGTTGCATGCGCAACCTAATGCAAAATCACGTATACATATATGTGATTTTGCGCACCCTTGCCACCCGGTAGCAGTACTTCTGTTATAGGGCAGATAGGAACCGGTCAATGTGCTAAAACCTATCTATAGTACAATTGTCAATAATAGGTGTGTAGATATACATATACACATATACAGGGTGCTGTTCGAAATCACAGGCTTTGTACAGCGTGCCTAACAGTTCTCTTTTTTTCTTTTTCTTACCTTTTTTCTAACAGCCCTGTTGGGGCAGAGTAAGCAGTTTGCTATGGGGCACCCCAGTAAGATTGCTACCATCACCCCATTACCTCTTACAGCAGCCGCAATCCACACAATTTTTTTCCATTCCTCTTGTTCCCAAAACCAGACTCCCCTTCTCTTGTGCACTCTGGAATGCCCACACTGTCTGCAAAAACAAACCTCTGTCCATGACCTCTTTGTCACTGTTTTGCTTGGTCTATCAAGGTTCTTTTGCAGTACAAACCAAAGAAGGGATTAAAACTGTGTAGTGTACTAAAAGTGCCTTACTAAACAGAAAAACTGTACATATGACTGGAGGATACACAAATCATAGCATGGAAAGTATAACAAAATATGCTTACAACATGCACAAGCTAGATCAATATGTATACTAAACAGCTTCTCAACTTGGGCTTTCCATTGATGGAATCTTCTTCATGGTTTTTTTTGATGAGCCCAAATGCTTCCTCATCCATCTTCAGAACAAGTGTATCCTTCCATGTCTCCAGAACAACTCTTTGGCTTCCTTTTGCCTCCGAACAAGTATATCTTTATCTCTCACCACTGGACATATGTGGTTCGTTTCATTCCAAATCAAATTTCAGACAGATTTTTTCATTATTCAGAGATTCGGATGTATGAGAATTCCGAATTACAAACATATTGAATTTAAACAAATCTGAAATATGAAACGAAATTCAAAAACAAATTCAAAAACGAAATCGAACAGTCGAAAACAAATTTAAAGCGGAGCACCACCCAAAAGGAGAAGTTCTGATTTAAGGACCGGTCCTCCATTCCCCGTTAAGGATTGGTACCTTTGGGGAGCGGGGGGGGGTGTGAGCAGGTACCCAAAATTAACAAATCACAAAGCGCAGTGCTACTCGCGCATGCTGGGTGCCCACACCAAAGATGTATCGGCAGTGACAGCTGAGTATCCATTTTTTAAAAGTCAGCAGCTGCAGCTTTTGTAGCAGCTGACTTTTATTTATTTTGTATTTTCATGGAACTCCACTTTAAACTTTAATTTGAAAACAAGAATACGATTAGAAAATCAAATGAATATTCTTGAAACGAAAATTCTTGAATGAAAATCTATACATGTATGGCCAGCTTGACGACTAGAAAATCAAATGAATATTCTTGAAACTAATATTCTCAGCCGAAAATCTACATGTATGGCCAGCGTTAAGCCCCATACAGTCCATTTTTTCGGAAAAGTGTATTGTATTTCGGACAACTACTGTACTGAATTAACGAAAATTGTACTGTATTAGATACAAAAAAATTTTCTCTCTTGTCCCTTCGACATTGTCGCAACGAATTGTCATGATCGAAAGTAATGTGTATTAACGTCAAATTTCAGACGATAGGTCCTTGTACGAAAAACGAACAAATTTCTTATCATGTATTATAAGCAAGACACTTGTATTTTCAGCACAGAATATTCGTAAAAAATCCCTTCGAAAATTCTTTGCACATTTGATGAATGGACGAATGTTGTTCGAAAATTGTCTTTTGCTTTTAACATTTTGATTTTAAAGCTGAATGTAATTTCTGTACGACACACATACGCTGGCCAAAAATTCTTTTGATCAAGAAAAGTTTTCATTCCAGCCCCTTTAAATATTTCCGTCACTGCTGTCGAAAACAAACATCGATTTGACCCCATTAACGGTTGGAAAATCAAACAAATATTCTTGAAATGAATATTCTCAGATTAAAATCTGCACATGTATGGCTGGCTTTACTTTTCGAATTCGGTCAAATTTTTTCAGATACAGTTTAAATCTTTTCGATTTCGAATGACTTTTCAAATTTGTTTTCAAATTGTTTTTGAATTGAATTCGAATACGAATTACCGAAACAAATCCCAAAAATGAATGAATTTACCAAATCCAGCTACACAAAATTTGTTAGATTTCGAACCAAAACATGGTTGACTAAAGTCCTAATCCCCTCCCCACTTTCTGTATATATTTTCCTCTAAGGAGCTTCCGCTACAGAGCTCATAAACCAGTTCCAAGTGTTCCTTTGCATATCAATAGGGGGAGCCTAGCTTCAGACACAACATGTAACTTAAAGCTCACTTATCTAAGCTATGCAAAATCACCACATATCAATAGCAACACAATCACTAACTCCTTTAATCTACTTTCTCTTACCGAACCTTGGCTTCATGAATCCAACACTCCTTCTCCTGCTTCCCTCTCCCATGGTGGCCTTCTCTGGACTTGCCCCCCCCCCCCAGACCTAGTTGACGGAAGGGAGGTGGAGTGGGAATCCTTCTAGCCCCACACAGTACCTATCAGGTACTTCAACCATCTCTCTCTCTCTCTGACGCTCTCCTCTTTTGAGGCACATTGCATTCGGCCATTCTCTTCCATTTCTCTATGAAATGCTGTGATCTACTGGCCCCCCTGACAGGTATTAACCTTCCTTGATTACTTCTTTGTCTGGCTATCCTACTTTCTCTCTTCTGAAATTCCCACAATCATTCTCAGTGACTTCAACATCCCTGTTAATACTAACACTCCTGCTGCTTCTAAACTTCTCAATCTAACAAACCCTCTTTTGACATGAAGCAATGGATAAATACTTGTACTCACTCTGATGGCAACACCCTTGACCTTGTATTCTCCCACCTATGCACTCCATGCAACCTCTCCAACAATTCTTTCCCTCTCTCTGATCACCACCTCATTTGTTTCACTCTCTCCCTGTCCTCCACCTCCTCTCCCTCTAACCGCCTAACAGTTACCTGTAGAAACCTTCTCCACTTCAACTCTTCTCTTCTCTGGTACTGACCACCTCTATGACAAAATGTCTTCCCTGTCCTGACCCAACCTAGCCACTTCTATGTACAGCAGTTCACTGTCATCCTCCCTAGACAAGCTCACCCCCCCTCACTACAGATGGAATCAGGCCCCGACCCCTACAACCTTGGCAAATAGGTTACAGCAGACGTCTCCAAAACATAGCCATGTTCTTGAGCGCCTGTGGTGTAAGACTAAGGAGTTGATTTACTAAAGGCAAATAGAGCATGTACTTTGCAAAGTGCAGTTGCACTCTGCAAGTGCAGTGAAGAAAAGCAAAAGAGGGGTGCACACTCTTTGTGCATTACCATGGTAAAAAAACAAATTTATTAAAATGCATAAACATTTCGAAGAAGAGAGTGCGCCTCCTAAAATGCGTCAGCTAGCTACATCAAGGGTCTCCCACTATCTGGGACTGTTACCACTGGCTCTTTGTCTCTGTTTTTATATCTCCTTTGGTTTGCAAGTATGAATTTTTATGCATTTTATTAAATTTGTTTTTTTACCACAGTAATGCACAAAGAGAGTGTGCCTTTACTTTGCTTTTCTTCAACAGTACCAAGATTTACCAATCTTTCAAGGGCTGCACCTCAGAGAATGACAGATACAGTACCCCCAGTCAGCATGAAGATTTGAGTGCTGGTTTTCGATTTTCTTGACAGTTTCTGCAAGTGTAGTTGCTGCAGAGCTTAGTAAATGAGGGGAAGCTCTGCTGACGTCCATCATCCAATCAGGTGCAAGCAAAAATACTGTTTTTTTTTTCTTTTCCTTGCATGTGATTAGGTATACTTTGCAAAGTGAAGTTTGATCTCATTTACTAAGCTGTAGAGCAACTGCACCTGCAGAATGCAACTGCACTTTGCATAGTGCACAGTCTATTTATCAATCCCTTAGTGTCAGAAAGACTTCAACCAATATAAATCTGCCCTTCAAAAATACAATTCTTACCTCCACACTGCCAAGCAGACCTATTTTATCTCTCTCACTAACAACTTCTCATCCAGTCCCCATCAACTCTTTTTTAACTCTCTACTTCGTCCTCCATTGCCTCTACCCCACTAACTCACTCACTGCCCAGGAGATTGCGAATCACTTCAAAAATACGGTTGATACAATTTGTGATGAAATCTCCACTGTACAGATATCTCCCCCACTTAATAACCCATGTCCACAG